GTAAATACATTGTTTGTATAATGACACCAATAAACGATTGATTCATCGATTGATTTTAGTATTTTTTTTCATCGTCCGTTTTTTTCTGAAAATTACAACAACTTTCGATTTCCAAATGGAACACCCTGTATTTTATTCCATAATCGGTTAGAAATTATTATAACGGAGATAAACAATTACGAAGATATTCATGTTCCAAGTTTCCATAAGCTCAATGGGGGTGACGGCGCATTATCGAAAGTCCTTTCTCTGTCACACTCATTGAGCTTATGGAAATTTCGAATGCGAATATCTTCGTACTCGTTTGAAATAATTCATTCAAACCCGGTGTTGTTGAATTTGTTATAATAATCTCTAACCGATCATGAAATAAAATACATATGTTCCATTCTAAAATCGAAAGTTGATGTCATTTCCAGGAAAACAGGAAGATGGTGAAAATTTTCTAAAATATGAGAAAGTGTCCTCTAGTGAGCATATTCGATGTTTCAAATTTCAGAAATATAGCTAGAAAAACAAAGGGGAAAAGGGGGGTATACCTTGGGTCAGTGTCACCCGGTATAGTATAAGGTATGTTTTAAATTGTTATTCATATTTTTGATCCTGAATTAATGTGTAAATTTGTTGTTTTGCAAATGATTTACTTCTTTTGCTAAATTATCTACTATTCATAAATTGACAAGGTTAATTCTCTTCTTCTGATCTTTATAAAAGAGCGGCATCCAAATTGTGTGTGTTGTCGATAGGCACTTGATATAATTATGCATAACTTTATATTCATAATTTCGTTAGATGTAGCTTAGGTCACAGTTCTTTTTATTAGGAATATTTTGAAAGCCAACTCTTTCAAGGGGGGCGGTATGTACCATTTCATTGTCCCTCATTGATTTTGTGAATAAGCGGCGTCCCTCAACAACGGGAGTTGTGTATTTCTGCAGTTTTTTTGACAATAAATAAAAATGCGATTCTTGAAAATGATGTCAGATAGTTGCCAGTATAGTGTTATTTGAATATAATGATGAAATAGCAGAATTCATATGTGTTCTTCAACCAACCTGAATAATAAAGATCATCAATTCAATACAGTCCATTCAATAATTCAAGGGATCAGTGAAAACACTCACAGAATCCTACAGCCAGCAAGGAGAATATATTAGTAATAGATCACCGGCGATTGGCGAAGTCATGACTGGACCTCCTGACTGGTTTCCTACTGATTCTGAGCTGTACTAGGATGTTTTCTATACCCCCAGCAGAACCATTTCGGAATTTTGAAATTTCAACTATGCCATACATGTCGCTTGTTTACCGCTAATTTATTACCATAACAAAAAATGTGTCCGTCATCGTTTAAAAAAAAACATGGTTCTGTTAGGTTTATATGAACTTTGCAGAACCACCCGGTATCCGCTTTTGAGAAAAACTGATGCTACCAAAATTTTGTCGCTAAATAATTACCACTCCAAAAAAATTGTCGCTCACCTTTTTTATAAAAAAATATATGGTTCTGCTAGGTTCATACTGTATCTATTCATTTTTTTTTTCAATAACAATATCACCATAATTTGTCACTAATTTATCGCTAATTGATTACCAAAATATGATATTTGTCGCTCATTTTTTTTTTTTTTCGAAAAAAAAAACATTGTCACAAAAATCTATCGTCTACTAACTGAAGTCTGAACACAAGTCTAAACTGTCTTATGGATATGGAATAGTAAATGCATGTGTAAAATGCAGTTTTGTATTCAATTATAAGCGAGTTATTATATGAATTGAAACCATAATAATCTCATAGTATTTCAAAGCTTCTTGGATCAGAAAATAATATCCACTTAATTTGCTAGGTTCATATTGACGGAGCAAGCAAGCAGGTAGATCTCAAGTTACACTGTGCCATTATTAATCACAACAGAAGGTGTAATATACAGATTGTCTATGAAATCATTAGAGCCTCAACATCTAAGATGAAATGTTTATTAATACTTTCGAATTCATTTATACCCAAAAAATGACTTTTCATCTGATTTAATTATGATTCAAATTGATAACAAAAATAATAATAATATAATAATCACGATTCACTGAAATTTTTCAATATATTCAGTTTATTGATTTGCATGCGGCAAAACTACGAGTTCCATGGTGGATAACATATTACATTTTGAATGTTTGGGTTTGGTCGGGGAATCCCATAGAAAACGTCGGTAATCTGTAAATATCCAAGAGTCCTGTATATCACACAATTTTACTGATTTTTTGTCCAGTTATCGTTTTTGAAGCTTCATGATACAAGATTGATGATGATTCGATGATTCTTTTGAGTTCTGTTAATTAGCTACCTAATTACATAACTAGTTAACCACTAGTTGTTGGCAGAAGCTGCCATTTCCAAATAATATTTACCATTTATTTGCAAATCTACCACTTTTAAGACATATGGTAGCCAATTGAATCAGTCCCACCAGCTTTGGGTACCATTTAGATTCTCTATGTTATGTAGCAATTCCACAAACCATCAGTAATCGGCCCAATCAATGACCCACATACAAGGTGATCCAATTAGTGTGAACAATGTTCTGAAATACCTACTTGCAATAATTTTATCAAGGATGTGCAATATCTATATTACATTCATTGTTGATGATGGCCTTGTCTCTATTTCGCAAACAAAGACAGATTACTGGTTATGGAGACTAACTGGAATAAATTATTATCACTAGCAGGGAGATGAGTGATTTTTCTTAAAACTCTGGAGACAGGTTAACGTTTTGATGTATATATATATACTTTTTGCAAGTAATATACTCAGATAGGTGATCATTTCTCTTTTTTTTTTTTTTTTGAGAAAAAGATAATTAATAATTTTCATATTCCAGTAATCAATTAGTGATAAATTGGCAACAAATGATGATAATATTGTTATTGAAAAACAAATTTTATAGAAGGTTCTGCTAGATTATGATATGAGCCTAGCAGTACCATAGATTTAAAAAAAAAAGATGAGCAAAAATTTTTTCAAATAGGTAATTAATTAGTGATTAAATAGCAACACATTTTGGTAGCATCAGGTTTTCTCAAAAGTAAATAGATACCTAGTGACTCTGCCAAGTTCACATAAACCTAGTAGAACCATAGATGTTTTTTTTTCAATGAGCAACAAATTTTTTGTTATGGTAATAAATCCTTGATAAATAAGTGACAAACTATGGCATAGTTAGAATTTCAAATTCTGAAATGGTTCTGCTAAGATTATGGGTGTTTACTATTGCTTTTTTATCTGACTAAAAATTGTAATTGTAAATGTTACATACTTTGGTCTTGACCTATTATCACTACCTATACCTCATAAAGGCTGGAGTCTCAGCTCAACTATACCAAATAAATGCAAAAAGCTCAAAGTCATTTCCACACAGTGTTCATAAAATGAACAACAATGGTAGATTTTGGTAGAAAAACGACTACTTCCCTGGCTAATGCCAGGCAGGATATTGAATTACATCCTCCCAAAATCTATGCATAGACTCCTATAAACGAATACTGATACAAGTGATTCTTTCCTGAATGCCTATTGATTTCCATTAAGCCAGGCCACTAGACAACCACAGACCGGTTTTGAGCTCTTTGACTCTCATCAGTGCAGTGTAGTCTCCAGCCAGCAGTCCTAAGACCGCCGACTCAGGGAAGCCTAGCCATACAAAAATCAAGTTGGCATTATATCCACCCCCAGGTGTCTTTCATGGATAACATAAAAGTAATGCCATCCATTGGATATAATGCCAACTTGATTTTCTCGGGAAATCTACCATTGTTGTTCATTTTATGAACACTGTGTGGAAATGACTTTGAGCTTTTCGCATTCCTTTAACATTTCATTCAACTGTGAGCATTGTGGCTATTTCATAGTTCAACTATACCAGTTTGAGTGAGAAGTGTTTTGCCATCAGTTTTGCCTGCCAACTGACTAGTAGACTATATTTTTCATCTAAACTGCTGAACATCAATGAAGGTGTCTTGTTGGCAGACTTGGGTCGAATACTGAAATCCGGTATTCGAATACGAATCCTGAATACTGTACTCTAAATTGTATTCGAATACTCAAGATTCGAATACAAAGAAAAAAAAGTAATCAAATACCGATGTATTCCAATACCTGGATTCATTCACATATGAATATTTTATGAATATTCCAACTGAAAAAAAAAACATTTGAGCACATAAAGCTCGTTTATATCAATGTATGTAGTTAATTTATGAAAATATATAAAAAAAAATAGAAAATATATTAAATAAAACTTCATAAATATTTTTTTGATCCAAAGTGCCACAATGAGGTTAAGGTAACACAAAATAATTGTTTAGCAAGATAATAATGGAAAATAATCTCAAATAATGAATGAAACTTGAAATAAAATTCATTCCATTACAAATAAAACATAGGAACTAATAAAATATATATGATCGACCAATAATATATAGCGACGGCTCCGTTTAAGCATAGTGCAATATTCATAGAAATAATCAAAAGTATCTGAAAACAGGATTCGAATACATACTGGGATTCGAATACAAAGTGAGTATTTGAATACTGAGATTCAAAAACGGTATTCAGAATCCAGAATACCGAATACTGACCAAAACAGTATTCAGTCGAATACCGAATACCAAATACACAAATATATTCACATAGTATTCGAATACCAGCCAAATGTATTCTGAATAGGATTCAGAATACTGGGTATTCGAATACTACACGAGTCTGCTTGTTGGTAAAATGAGAAAATTTGATGTAAAAACTCTCTTGGAAGCCTGGATTTGACAATCAGTGAACATAGTGGGCAAACAGGGTCCAAGGTATTTTGGGTAAAATAAAGAAGGGAACTTAATTTAGTATGAGATTTGAACCAGCAACTCTAGGATTAAGGAGCAAATGCATAGCCCACTGTGCTATTATTAACAAAAAGAATTCAACTAGTGGAAATTGAAGTTTCTACACATACCAAGGTGATTATCCATCTGACACAACATCTTGGGAATCTTGATGTTCATCTCTTCATTCTCATCAATGACAGGACCAAAGTTCCAAATAACAATGCGGCCTCCTGAGCCACCTTGGCCACCAGTGGCAAATCTTCCTCCATTTGGATGGATGTCAACAGAGAATATTGGTTTATTATCTAAAAGAGCAATTGTTGAAACCATTGAAGGAATCTGAAAATGAATGAATTCTTGATTTTACTCCCTTCTCACATACCTTCATGATTGACCCAAGGAGGTTTGAAGAAAATCATTCTGTTGTAGTTGTGAATTACTAAAAATGATAATTGATGATATAATTGTTTGGATACAGATACAAGATACTTTTGATGTCCAAAACAGATAATATGCTTTATTATTCAATTCATTTTTCCTCCAACCCCAGTCCGATTATTCGAACATGATCGGGACAAATAATAACACTCAAAAATTAGAAAAATTGCCTGCAGACTATTTCCTGTTCAAATTCAGAAGTTTTTCCAATTTGCCTGTTTCGTTTTCATTTTTCGATGGGTTTAATTCAGTCGGTTAGTTTTGTTAGAATTTATTTGAGAAGTTAGGTTATGTGTCGTTTTTGTTGTTTACATTGAGTGACACTGACACCGATTAGAGAGTAGTAAGACAGTAAGAGAGAGACACGGCGCGTGTTCCGATATTCTGGAACAGTACTGCCTAGTATTTTATTTATTGTTCCGATTTCACTGAAATTTACTGGCAACATATTCGCGGGTCGCAAGTTGCAAGGAACCCTGTAACAGCGTTACCCTCGATACGGGATACGGTGGTCAGAGATTATACGCGGTGGTCAGAGATTATACGCGGTGGTCAGCCACTGGTGCAGAGATGGTGATGTCACAGTCACAGTATACAGGTGATGTAGTGCCAGTATTCACGAAATATCAAACATGAAATGTTCGGTTAAGCGTTTGATGATATTTCACTTACTACGCGATAGGCGAAGAAACCACTATTTATCGAGATATTCCAAAAAAAAAGTTTAAAATTGTGGCCTTTTTCTCCCTGTCTTGGATGCATTAACAGCTACTTCGAGATATATAGGGATTCATAGCTTCTTGCTCTTCTTATTCTTGTTATCTTGTCGTGCTTTAGAGTCAATGGATGGTATTAGTTTAGTATTAGTTAGATAAGAGTTCGGGTTATTTTTACCCCCTACCTCCCTATTTTGACACACTCCTGTATTTAATTTTGAGGTGATTTTAACTCCATTCGAACCGGCACTGAATAGTTAGTGGATAAACAAAATTTTATATTTTCATCATACAAGGTGTTGAAGATAATAGTACAAAATCATTCTCCGAGACCCCCCATTGAGGGGCTGTATCTTTCTTGGGGGGCACTTATTCAGAAAAAAATGTTACCAAGGTTTTCGTAATTATTTAACTCACACTATATACTCCCAAAGTTTGACCACCTATTTTAGAAACACCTTGTAATTTCATTAACTATTGCGGAAAAAACATGAAAGAAAATGTCCTATGCTGTGTAATTAATCGCGGGAATTCCGGCGGGAATAGCAACTTCTTTTCTATAATTTTCTAAAGAAAATATCAACCATTCCCCTATGGAAGGAAAGTAGAAACGGTCTGAATCGAAAATAAATTTGAAGACAACCCAGCAAACAATTTCTGTAGTACTTACGTCGGCCCAAAACCTGCTTGCCAGAAGTTGCCGACGCGGCGAAAGGTCGCAGTGGTCGACAGCGGGACCGATTCCTGTATGAAGTGACCGGTCGCGGGTTTTGAACCTGCGAAATTTGGGTTACGAAGCGAATATCTTACCGACTGAGCCATTTTATTTCCTGTTGAGGTTTGAGTACTATATCACATCAATGAATCATAATATAATAATGAAAGATAACAAATTCTGATCCTCCGATAAGCTAGACGGGTTTTTGTTACTCACTTGAGTTTGTATTGAAGTTTTTTGTGAAATATGATGACTTCGTTATAGGTAGGTTATTTATTCACCAATCAACGAGCAACTATCGTAACGGAATGTGAAAGAACGGAAAATAATATAGGTAATAGGTGGATTGACATTCTTTATATCTCCATCACTGTCGAAAGGATCACTTTATAGATAGGTACGGTAGCACTCTCACTATTTCCTAGACTAGCAGATATACTTACCTTCTTTAATAAAGAATAACAGTAATGAAAGTGGGGTGAATTTTTTTGTCAACATTCATCAATTAAGTCTAGGTACTCAATTCACTTATAAATGCAATTTTAGCGTTAGAAAACTATTATTGATCATAGAATTAGTAGAAGGAATATTTCATTATTCACATATCATATGTGTTAATTGACTTCACAATATTTCCCAACCACAGAATAAAATTTCCTTCCAAATTTTTTCATCATAATTATGATACTTAAGTAGCCATCTTTATCGAAATTACACTGGAGAGAGGTGATGGTTAATATCATATGTAAGATGGGAAAGCGCGGATGCCGCTTTTACTGGCCCGTTGCCGACTGGATTACAGTTTAATACGAATTCAATATACCATACCAAGGCCGATGTTCAGACGACGTAGTGAAATGGCATTACGATTTTTGATACCGCTGGTCCAGTGCTGGTTGGATTATGAATGAACGATTAAAATATACCATTCAATGGGCCGACGTTCGCCCGTTGCAGCTCAGCCGTTACCAGCACTCTGCCGACTGATCCTGCAGTGAGCCAGAAGGCGATCGAAGATTCGATGTTTGCTGGCAAGCAAAATTTGTGAGGTAAGTACATACATTGACATTCACCTATTATAACAGCAGATCAAAATGAAACTATATTTTAGGACCATTTTCAAACAAAACATTTATAAGATCTGTTTGAAAGAATCTGCTGTTCCATTGATTTACAATACAAAATATTGAAAGATATCCCAATATCATCATCACACGAGATGTAAAACAAAATTATCACAGAGAATGAGGAATTGATTGCAAAACTACGTGAAGAAATTGAAAATTTGAGAACGAAACTGAGGTTATCAAGTGAATTGCAAATACTGACCAAATTCAAAATTTATCTGTGAAAAGTGAATGCAGCAAGAGGTGAAAAATCAAAACAATCTCAATTCATGATTTGAACTTCATCACTAGGATACAGTTTTACATATAATAAGGAACTAATTATGTGTAAGTATATCCATCATATGAGTCTATTTTGTCATATAAAAATGTTGTTACATATGAATTCCTTTCATTTTTATAACTATTGATCTGCGAAAGGTGTACCGCTATATGAATTGAAGTGGATGTTTATACCCGTTCATACCCTATTCCAATTTTCCATCTACGACAATAATGATTGATTTTTGATCTGACAGAAAATCTAACCTCTAAAATCGTATCTGACAATCAGGCGCTACTAGGGAAATTGAAAGGACGAAGAGCAGAATATATGTCTTATTCTTTCATTCACTTAAACCATCGTGATATTGTGGAGAAAGCCATCAATATTGAACTTATCAAATATCTGGAGAGCTCAGGAATCATCAATGATAGACAATACGGCTTTCGCTAGAGATCTACTTGCCTACGTCACCCATTTATGGCAAGCTTCATTAGAATAACACGGGGAATCTCTAGCTGTCGCGTTGGACATATCGAAAATATTTGACCGTGTTTGGCACGAAGGACTCCTCCACAAACTACCATCATACGGCTTACCACCTCAGCTATGCCATCTCTTATCGAGTTTTCTTTCAGGCAGATCGCTTCATGTGGTGGTGGACGGTGTATCGTCTGATCCCATTGACATCAATTCCGGCGTTCCACAAGGATCAATTTTGGCACCAACATTATTCCTTCTTCATATCAATGATCTGTTGGGAGTAACAACTTGCCCCATCCACAGCTTTGCAGATGATATAGTACCCTCCATACTGCGTTCTCTTCCAGAATTCCCATTTATTCCCAGGAAACTAAGAACTCACGGCGCAGGCAGGTCAATGCTGTCAATGAAGATCTTGCTGAAATCAGAGCCTGGGGAACCAACAACCTAGTTGAATTCAACGCCACCAAAACTCAAGCCTGTATTTTCTCTAGAAAGGTGGAACTCAGTATGTCCGATATTGTAATGTCTGGCTCCACCATCCCCACCAAGCCCACTATATCTATGCTCGGCATTTCCATCAGCAACACTCTTTCATGAGATAATCATGTCAGATCCATCGCAAAAGCTGCTTCACAAAAACTCGGATTCTTGTTCCGTGCGAAAAGCTACTTTACACCTCAGCAGCTTCTCATGATCTACAAAGCGCAGATACGGCCTGTTCTAGAATACTGTTCCCACATATGGGGTTCAGCACCAAAACATACGCTGATGCCAGAGAAGAGCCATTCGCCTGGTGGGTGACGCCACACTCACTCACCCTTTGACATCATTGGAACACCGTAGAAAGGTCGGCGACCTCTCACTTTTCTATCAATACTTCCACGGCAAATGTTCTTCGAAAATCTCTGCTATCATCCCTTCACTAGCAATACCAATCAGACGAACTAGACAAGCCCAGTCAGCACATCCTTTCGTTGTCAACCTCGAAAGATGTCGAACAGCACTTTATCAAGACTCCTTCATCCATAGAACGGCTAGGCTCTGGAACTCATTGCCTGTGGAAGTATTTCCAACAACATATAATCTCCAATACCTACCTCCTGTCCCTATCCTCCCTAGGAACGCACGATGTTCTTTGAACATTATAGGGATTCCCTTTCGTGCGCTCCAAGCGATAAAAAAAGGATAAAAAATCAGTTGTGTCCGAACTCTTATCGAACTAATAGCAGTTTCCATTGGGACTGAACTATATAGTGAAGTATTTAGGCACTCACACATGTAGCAGGAAGAGAAATGTGGAATCCGCTGAAATACCATCCAGTGACTCTAGACACCTTCTCATAATGTAGGTACTTCAATGACAGATTTTCGTATTTAGGTGAATTCAACTGACAGTGCTGAATCTGCTAATTATCCATTCCGAAATTAAAAAATTCACTGAAAGTGACAATATTTCGACTCAACATTCTGCTGAAATTGCTGACTATCAAAAGGTATAGTGTGGCTTCAGTAAAGTCATAATTCTAGACGATGAAGGAATGTCACATTGATTTTCGTTGTTTTATCTATAACAAATTAATAATATCCTTTTTCTGCAACCGACACAAAAGTCGTCCATTTTGATACCAAAATTAGCTCTTAAAGTGACGTTTCTATTACTGACACAAAAATAGGTATGTTGCTAGGCAACATATTTAGTTCCTAGGAGCTAAAGTTGAATTTTAGTTCCTAGGAGCTAAAGTTGAACTTCAGCTCCTAGGAACTAAAAAGGATGTACTGGACGTCATCATCAAGAATAAACAACATTGTAACGGTTCGTTATTTGGGTTGAGACGCATGCCTGATTTGTTTCCGATTTCAGCAGATTTGGCATTTCATACCCATGCTGGAGATATAAATACACCTTATTAGTTTAGTATTGGAATTATAAATATATCAGTTAAGTATTTTTGTTTTGATCAGGGAAGCCTTCAAGATTCAAATACTTGCTTGATCTGTATTTCATTCGTTATTCTCGGGATGAATAACTTGTTTTTGAATAATCACAGCAAGCAATAGTTTTTTTGTCTCAAACAACGATATTGTTTAGCTTCATTTGATTATCAAGTCAAACACAGTGTAGTATAGAGAGGAATAAATAATCACTATTATCATTGTTGAATATTCTAGAAAACCTAACCTGCAGTTAATGCAGGTAGAATATTCTCACCACATGGATTATTTGTCAATATTTGTTGCATTGCATACATATGGCACGGCATTGGTGGTTACTTCACATGTTTATTTGAGTTAATTGTTTCGGTTGCAGAAAAAATAGCATGTTTCATTCGGATCAAAAGTGACTTTGTTCGACTCGCAAATTTTGCTTTCGCTCGGCATCGCTAAACGCTCCGCCTCGCAAATTCAAAATTCGCTTGTCAAACAAAGTGTCACGTTTGATCCTAATGAAACAATCTACTATTTTGATATCATAAAATACCTCCTACAAAAATAATTGACACTGAGAATGATCAAAGCGATGTCATATAATCACGATCGAACATCACAGGTGAGTTCGTTGGATCGTTCAAATAAAGCATTTTCTTGTGCAAGCTATGACGTCACCAAGTAATACGGTTCATTCCGGTTCAAAAACTTCTGAAAATGAACGGTTCGAACCGTGTTCCAAGTTCTAAGGTTCGAGCCAGGGAAACCAGTGGAGGAGTGGGAAAACGTCGAAGTCTGATTTGAGCTTTGAGCGATTGAGGTTCTAATAGTTATTTATTATACAAGGGAAAAAAGTAGTAGATTTTAGCTCCAGGTTGTGTTGTCTCCCGACGCGTAGCGGAGGGGGACAAAAAACCGTGAGCTAAAATCTAATATTTTTCCCGTGTATAATACACTATTTTTTTCTGTGACAGAAGGAAGGACGAATCAATATTGGGAAGATATTACATTATTTCGAAATCTGAAAATTATCGACGTGAAATTTCAAGTTTTTAACAGGACACCTGCGTTTTATAGACATCTTCATCATTCTTTTGAAGTTATCAAATATCTGATGTCACTTCTGTCAGTTCAATTCTGTGATTTGATTTTGAAAAATTGCGAATTCAGTAGTTGTTTAGTAATATACGAAACCGCGAAGTCGAATGGAAGATAAAAGGACTTGCAGTTCTTTCTCGGAGACGGTATTATTGACTTATTTTTCGGAACTATAGCACAACAAAAGCCATTAACAGAGTATATATATGTGATATATATCCGGGAAAGAAGTACTCACTTTTTTCCCACGGGAAAAAAGTAATTTATGAAAAGTGACATTTTATAACCTGCCAACAGAGATGAAATGCCAAACTTTTTTCCCGTCACAGAAAAAATATTATTTTTGAGAAATTGACTATATAGCTTCGAAAATGGAGTGTGATGAGTGTATGGTACATAATTTTCCACTATAGGATGCTGGAAATTTTCGAGAAGAATAATCATTTCCAGACAATTATCTATTTCTCTGGACTAATTCAGCATTTGTGAAAGACAAACACCTTTTTTTTATGTTCTGGTTCCCACGAAATGGGATATCATGTGATGTTCAGAGAACATCGTGAGAACCAAGGGAAATAAGCTAGGAATTGGTGATCTTCTCAAATTTCTGGAGGTTTTATGCCTCGGGAAATACTTCCCTTGGCAATGTGTTCCAGAGCCTCGCCGTCCGTTGGATGAACGAGTCTTTGGCAAGAGATGTTCTGCAGGTCTCCAAAGTGACCTTGCCTCATCTGCTGATTATCGATTAGAAATTCTACTTTTAGTGATTCCATTCTTTTACACTTCCCAAGTTCTTAACAGATAATCATCAATTTCAAAATTTATCTATTGATTTTGGTTTTCAGGTTATGTGTTATTTATCCGACTTATGACAGCTTCCATTTCAAAATAGTCTGTTTTCTTGAATGAGATAAATTACTACGTCACGCTTGAAAACAGTTCGAAAATAATTTTCAACACGGTTCGGCAAGAAAAAACAACTTTACTCTGGCGCGAAGCCTAAACACTTCTAAATGTCAATGTCAAACGCAAGTCGAACGACACACGTCGACGTCACTAATGTCTAACTTCAAGGTTGGGGTTCAAGGTCAGGAATGTCAGGGAATCTGGACTATCTGGAAAAATAAAAATATGGAAAAATTTGGTTTATCTTGTGTATGGTGGTGTGTTGTTCTAGTTGAAATTGTGAATTATATGATTTCTATAATGATGTGAATTATTGACTGAAAGTAATTACTCGAAATTAGCACGTATTGAATAGTGTAGCCACGATGAAGAAAAATTCGGTCAATACTCGATATGAAAAACTGCCCTACGACGACTTCTATATACATTGCAAGGTAAGAGGATTTCATAATTTTAAAAATCAAAATATGTGTTATTCGATGACAGTTTTTTTCATAATTTCTTCTTGGTGCCTACATGCAATATAATACATAATATTCAGGGTGATTCAGGTTTGAAGGTACAAACTGAAATGGGTGATAGATCTCATCATTTTGATCAAGAAAGTTTATATAAACATAAGTCCAATCTTGATCAGTAGCTGAGCTACAGGAGGACAGAGTTCAATTATTTTTTCCTATTGATTGAAAGGAAGGGTGAACTCTGGGGTGGACTGTTGATACAAATGATGTACACTACTTCCTTTAAATCCTATACTTCTTGTACTTCCTTGAAATTTTCTACTGCTTGTACTACCTTGATACTTTCTGTACTTCCTCTATACTTCCTTTGTACATACCAAAGAAGCTAGCAAAGCCACTTTCGAATTTCAACATTAGACACATCTCATAATTTTAGGCTCATTTTAGGTTAATTTATTACTCCATTCCCGAATTTTTTGCTCCTCCCTATCATAGAAAAATTTGTGGCTTTGCTAGCTTCGGCCGAACTCAGCAAAGCCATTTTTGAAAAACAATATTTTTTGAATATCTGATATAGTGAGAATGTAGTGCTCATTTTAGGCTAATTTATTACCCTATTCCCAATTTTCTTGCTCCTCTCTATCATAGAAAAATCTGTGGCTTTGCTAGCTTCGGCCGAACTCAGCAGAGCCATTTTTGAAAACAGATTTTTCATCGATTTGATATATTGAGATTAAAGGGCTAATTTTAGGCTAATTAATTACCCTATTTTCGAATTTTTCGCTCAACGTTTCGAACAGAAAAAATACAAGACAACTTGTCGAAATACCCATCATTCACTGTACATTATGCACTTCTATCAAAAGCATATTTTATGATGATTTTTCAAGACAAAGTGTTAGTATTGATTATAAGTTCCATAACTATTGCATTTTGGAATTTTTTGCTGCATATTTTTTAAAACAAACCTGTGGCTTTGCTGGCTTTGGGCGAACTCAGCAGAGCCATTTTTGAAAACATAAGATTTTTCACCGATTTGATATATTGAGATTAAAGGGCTAATTTTAGGCTAATTAATTACCCTATTTTCGAATTTTTCCCTCAACGTTTCGAACAGAAAAAATACAAGACAACTTGTCGAAATACCCGTCATTCACTGTACAATATGTATTTCTAACAAAAGCATATTTTATGACGATTTTTCAAGACAAAGTGTTAGTATTGATTATAAGTTTGATAACTATTGCATTTTGGAATTTTTTGCTGCATATTTTTTAAAACAAACCTGTGGCTTTGCTGGCTTTGGGCGAACTCAGCAGAGCCATTTTTGAAAACATAAGATTTTTCACCGATTTGATATATTGAGATTAAAGGGCTAATTTTAGGCTAATTAATTACCCTATTTTCGAATTTTTCGCTCAACGTTTCGAACAGAAAAAATACAAGACAACTTGTGGAAATACCCATCTGTTATATGAATAATCATTATATAATTGTATCTAGTTTATTTAGAATAACACCCTGTCATTATTGTAACCGAAGGGACTGAGAAAATAGTTGAATGTTGTTAGAGATAACAAATTATTATGACTGGGTATAAAAGAATGGTGTGAGTCAATGTTCGAGTTTGGTGCACAATAAAAGTTGTATCTACCATACCTTGTATTCATTACATGGCGCAGTCGTATATATACATGAATTCAAAAGAACCCGCTTCACTGAATGATTAGATTGATATGGATAATTTGAAACAACCAAAGGAAATGTCACTCGAGGGTGACATAGCATTGAATTGGAAGAAATTCAAAGAAGCTTATAAACTCTTCATGGTAGCATCTGGTTGCAGTACGAAAGAGAAAGAGGTAAAAGCGGCAGTTCTGCTACATATAATTGGCGATGGAGCTCGTGAAATTTTGGATACATTAGACTTGACAGAAGATGACAAACAAAATGAAGAGAAGATACTTCAGGAATTCGAAAACTATTTTGTTCCAAAAACCAATGTTAGTATTGAAAGACACAAATTCAATACTAGGAATCAATTAGTAGGAGAAGATTTCGACTCTTTCCTGAAAGATTTGAGAACTATTGCAGCTTCATGTAAGTTTGGTGAACTGAAGTCAAGTTTAATCAAAGATAGAATCGTTTGTGGAGTAACCGACAAACGAATCAAAGATAGATTACTTCGTGAAGAAAAATTGGATCTAGATAAAGCTATAGACATTTGTAAAGCGGCCGAGGAATCAGATAAGCATATTCGCAAGTTATATAATGAAAATGGTAACCAACTTGAAATGTGCGGAATAGAAGGAAAGGAGCGCTTGAGATATCAGGATTATACAAACAGAAGAGTTAATGATTATACAAACAGAAGAGTTAATGATTATACAAACAGAAGAGTTAATATTCCGGACAGAAGATGGACAGGAAGTAGCAGTCCACAGATTACTAGTAAGCAGTATCCATCTACATCTCCGCATGTGTCGGCGAGTACAAGTTCAACGGAGTGCTCCAAATGTGGATATGAATCATCACATAGAAGATGCCCTGCAGAAGGAAGAAGATGCAATGGTTGCAATAGGTTTGGGCATTTTGGAAAACTTTGTAGGTTTGGAACAGGAAAGGAAATTGGTAATATTGTTGATCTTTGGAATGTAGCATGATCAGGCGATAATGATTATAAAAGTGATGAATATATACTAGGTTCTGTTGATACTAATTCTGATGAAAATAATTGGTGTATTACTTTGAAAATATTGGATATTAACAAAGATGTCACATTTAAAATAGATACTGGGGCACAGGTTAATGCTATTCCTCTACACCTATTGAAAAAACTGAACATTTCGGAAATTTTGAAACCTTGCAATTTGAAAATCACTAATTATTCAGGTACTTCAATAAAAACATTTGGTATCTCGATTTTATCAGTAAAATTCAATAAAAAAATATATGACTTGAATTTTGTTGTTGTTGAGACTGGGAAGGATGCTAATGCAATTTTAGGTTTGAAATCTTGTGAATTATTGGGTTTGATAAATAGAGCATCAATTAATGATATTAAATTGCAATCACGAGATGATGTTTTGAACAAGTTCAGAGATGTTTTTTCAGGTATGGGAAAAATTGTATGTGATCCCATTGATATAAAATTGCGTGATAATTATGATGCTGTTGTAGTTCCGTGCAGAAAGGTTCCATTTCAGTTGATAAATAAATTGAAGGATGAGTTAGATAAAATGTGTAAAGATGAAATCATTGTAAGGGTCACTGAGCCAACTGAATTTGTAAATCCAATCACTATTGTTAAAAAAAGTAATGATCAAATACGCATTTGTCTAGACCCGCAAAAATTAAATCAAGCTGTCCTAAGAGAATATTATGAATTACCAACATTTGAGGAACTCATTCAGGATATGGACGGTTCATGCTACTTTTCAGTTTTAGATGCTTACAGGGGGTTTTGGCAAATTTTGCTCAATGAGAAATCATCTAAATTTACAACATTTGCCACACCTTTTGGCAGGTATAGATTTTTGAGACTACCGTTTGGATTATCAGTTTCGCCGGAAATCTTCCATCGCATTTATAGTGAAATATTTTTATTGCATTACATTCTCTTCTTCATTGATACATTTCATACAAATAATATATAAAGTATAATTAATTTTCTAGTAGGAATGACATGAATGATCAGACAGTAATCAATACTGAACAATAATAATACATAATTACATATATTCATTGGTTGGATGCACAATGGATTTAAAAAAAATCTGTGTGTGCATCCATGTAGCTTAAACTTAAGAATCAGTCATATATAGATATACTGAGGTCCCTGCAATTTGGAACTAATAAGTAATAAGAAGACAATAATGAATAATAACCTAATAACTGTGATGCATGTGACATGTGATGTTCAAGATTAGATGATTTATAAATCATTTACAGTCACCTCACTTTCTACTATCCATCTAATGACATGGTGTTTGAAGGTATACCGAATGTTAAAATTTATATTGATGATATAATTGTTTATACAAAAACAGAAGAAGAACACGAGACAATCTTGAATAGATTATTTATGAGAGCAATTGAAAAAGGCGTAAAATTCAACCCTGAAAAATGTAGATTTTTTGCTACAGAAGTCAAATATATTGGTCATATATTGTCGAGAAATGGGATAAAACCGGACAATAAAAAAATTGAAGCAATTAAAAAAATTCCAGAACCGACGAATGTGAAAGAATTAAGTAGATTTTTAGGAATGGTAACGTATGTATCGAAATTCATCCCGAATTTTTCTCAACTCACTTGTAATCTGAGAGAGTTAACAAAAAAAAATGTGATTTGGCTTTGGACTGATATACATTCTAAAGAATTCAATAATTTGAAAGTCGTAAACCAGACTTGATATATAGTGATAATGGGCCACAATTTTCAAGTTTTCAATTTATTAAGTTCATGAATGAGAGACATGTGCAAACCATAAAACATTTGTTTAAGAAGTTGTTGTAATATGTTGTTTTTATGTTATTTTTATTATAACTTTTTATAATATGTCTGGATGACAAAACGTATATTTATTTAATAAACAAATCAATCATGTTGTTACTTGATCATAAAATTATCAATATATACAAAGTGTAGAATAGAAATGTCTTCTCCAACACCCCTTCTCATTTCTGGTCTACTTCTTCAAGTCTACGAAGTCCCAATCCAGTCATAAATTTGTCATGACCGGGTTTAAATAGTCCTTTTGTTAAAATATCAGCAACCATTGCATTAGTTGGTATATACTTGACATCCATCTCACCCTTTTCAAAAGATTCTCGTACATAGTGATATCGAATATCAATATGTTTTGTGCGAGAATGATATACTGGGTTCCTCATTAGTTTCTGTGCCCCTTGATTATCACAATAAATCATTGTGGGCTTTGATGAGGTATATCCAATCTCCAGTAAAAATTT